TTTCGTGTTGCTCTGCAACCGTCTCGATACAAATTTAGATCATATAAAATGTATTAACATACAAAATACTTTACCATACTCCCCACCTTGAACTATTTTAGTTCAATAATAAATACATTTATACTCGTTTATGAATATTTGAACTAAAACTGATTAATTATACTCCAATATAACAATGATTATTACCGAAATTATTGTTTAATATGCACAAAAAAAAATTTATGCGAACGGAAAAAATTGTAGGCCGATATCTTAGGCTCGCCAAATTTCGTGAAAGTTTAAAATGTCAGAAATTTTTTTTTACTTGCCTTTATAGGAAATTTAATTCTCTACAAAAAGGCCCTTAAAAGAAATCAGTCGAATTAATAATTTCTGAGATAATGACAATTTTAGTAGAAAAATTGACGTTTTCACAATATTTATGTTTTTTATAGAGATAAAAAGTGATTGTTTAAATATCTATTTTGTAGGAAATTCAATTCTCTACAAAAAGATTCTTAGGAGAAATCATGTCAAATTAATAGTTTTTGAGATAATGGCAAGCTTAGTAGAAAAATTTATATTTTTCACAATATTTACGTTTTTTATGGATAAATAGTGATTGTTTAAAGATCTATTTTATAAGAAATTTAATTCTCTACAAAAAGGTCCTTAGGAGAAATCATAACAAATTAATAGTTTTTGAGATAATAGCAATTTTAATTAAATATAGTTATTTTTTTATTTTCGATGGAGAAAAGAAAATTGTAAAATAGGTATATATTTTTAAAATATTCTCAAAAGACAATTCTCATTTCTATTTATTTTAATATCATATATGTATATATTGAAACTGTGATTCTAATAATGTTTATTTTTTCTACTAAAATTGTCATTATCTCAAAAACTATTTAAACTATATTTAAACAATCACTTTTTAATCTATAAAAAACATAAATATTGTGAAAAACGTCAATTTTCTTACTAAAATTGCCATTATCTTAGAAATTATTAGTTCGACAGATTTTTTCTAACGACCTTTTTTGTAGAGAATTAAATTTCCTTTAAAAGCAGGTACAAAAAAAAATTTCTGACACTTTAAACTTGACGAAATTTGGCGAGCCTAAGATAGCGACCTAAAATTTTTTCTTTTCGCATAATTTTTTTTTTATGCATAATGAACAATATTTTTGGTGTTAATAATAAAAATTTAAAAAAAAAAGCGGATTTTAGGCCCACCCTAATGATTATAAAAATACTCTAAAAACTCTTATCTAATACATTTTTACCCAAATCTGCATTGCATTTATTTTATGATAAATCTACTAACTAATCAATTTAGCTTTTTAATTCAAGTTTATTTTTTGGTTAACTCTCGTTTAAGTACAAACTTCAAGAAAATTTGATTAGATAACCTCTGCTTTAACAATAAAACTTTTAAATATGTGCAAAACTGTACTTATAATTTCGTTACAATTATAAGATTTATAAGTCACAACCAAATAATTTCACTAAATACAAAAAATTAAGCTCTTTTAACTACGATGTCTGATGAACCGGCAAAAAATTACTAATCTACTAATTTCGCTGTAATCAAGTCTGATTAAAAATTAACTCAGTAATTGTTAAATTTGAATCCTATTAGAGAACATTTAAATCTAAATTATTCTTATATGGTCATAATAAAGTAAAGTAACTTAATACTCATAAAACTGATCTAGTATTCATATAATATAGAAAAATATTTTCACTTGGTGAAAAATTGATACATTATTAAGTACAATGTACCTAAGTGAAACTTCATTCAATTTTTTTTTTTTTTATTGTAACGGGTTATTATAAGTTCACTGCATGATGAGTATGGCTAATAGTCTTACATCAACCGAAATACTCTTAGTAAGAGACTTCATTTTTTAAATTTTCTACATTTGCCCAAAAAAAAAATTGTATGAGAGAATATGTTACATATTATAACCCCGAAGAGCACATTTCCGTAAGTTTCTGTCAACAATGTAGTAAATAGCGGGCCTTTATTTTTAGAACATTGCTCCTATATTTACAACTTTGTTTGCAGAAAGATAATTGAACTACTTAAAAAAATATTGTTTGCAATCTTATGCATTAACAAAACATTTCAAAAGCAACAATTTGATGTTATTTTAGTGATATCATTGTAAAATAATGTGACTTATGGGAATAATACCATTAAAAAATAGTTTGAATCGCTAAAGAAATAAATGTAGTAGCATTAGTAGCACATTTTATTTTAAATTAAACAGAAACATAATTATTAAATTAAACTAAATTGAAAATTGAATTAGACAAAATATTCTATATGTCAACCAACTGTTAACAAATACACCAAAATTTGTCAGAAAAAGTGACAGACTTAAAGTTATTTTTACATAATTAAAAATAAATTTGATTAGCGCTTTTCGCACTAAAACCAATGCAATTCAAAAAGTTGCCAAGTCAATTTAACACATGTTGAGTGTATTATAGCACGATACGTATCTGGATGTATATTTTCCGCATTTTAGTTCTTCGGATATAAAATATTATTATTTACACTGAACAAACAATTTATTTAAAAGAATCAGATGAAAGTCGGTGCTTACACCGAGCAAATATTTTTCTTTCCTTTATTAAAACATATCGTCATAAAAAGTGTGTTTTATTTGTTTATTTTTTCAGTTCGTTCACTTTTTCCTCTCTATTTATTAGGTATTTTGTAAAAATTGTGAAAAACTGTGAAAAAAATTTAAAAATTGATAAAATAAACTATCGAGCCAGAAGGATCAGTTAAGAGATATTTTTTATGATATTAGTTTTGACTAACCAAAAAAGTCACACAGAAAAAATCAAAGAAATAGAAAATGCATTCAATAAATCGTTGATATTTCGAAAATCAGCTTATTTTCATGTTCTGAACTCATCAATGACGTTTCGTTTTAAATTATTTTTCACAGTTGTAATTTATTTTTAAAAAACAGTGTGTAGTAAAAAATTATGTCACAAATAAGTAGCTTCGGTTCATAGCTACAGTTTATGTTTCGAGGATCAATCAGCTCTTTTTTTGGTAAGGAAAAATATTTTCAACAAAATGACACATAGTCCAGACGGTATCTGTTTCAAAAAGCCATATTTGGGTGAATCGTATATCCACGGAGATTTTTGGCTTTTTGGCTTTCAAATATCACTAGAAATGGAAATTTTTCTATGCGCATAAAAAAAAACGTGGGCTTAACTTTTGGCGGCACAATATGTTAAAAAAATTCGAAAAATGTCATATTTTTCTTTCTATTTAATTATGTATCTTTTCAAGAGTTGATTTTAGGCTAAAATGAAAGAGGAAAAAAATGTTTGCAATTAAATTTTTTACAAAACACGTCTAGTTACAAATCGAATGAATTATGTTTATTATGGTAAAAATCGAAAAAATCGCAAAAATGGGGTTAAAAAACAATACTTCTAAGGGATTTTTTGGGGTATTTAAATTGGGTATAGGACCTTTATACTTGGCTCAAAAAAACTTCATGTTATGTAGAATTATCACACCAAATTTCATCAAAATCGGTTCCATAGATTTTGCATAATAATTTTGCAATGCAGATTTTGAAAAAAATTGCAAATTTTTAAAATTTTGCACAGCAAAAACCAAGGCCCTTAAATACTTAACTACTTAATACTTAAATTTAATCACATATAGAAGGGCTCTCAAGCTTTCAAACTTTTTTTGAAAAATTCGAATTCGTCAATTAGGAGAGCTGTGGCGCTTGTTTAAACATTTGTCGAATTTTATTTATTTTATTTTATTTTCAAGTATCTAAGGGCCTTGGTTTTTGCTGTGCAAAATTTTGAATATTTGCAAATTTGTTTTCAAAATCTGGATTGCAAAATTATTATGCAAAATCTGTCGAACCGATTTTGATGAAATTTGGTGTGTATATAATTCTACATAGCATGAAATTTTTTTGAGCCAAGTATAAAGGTCCTATACCCAATTTAAATACCCCAAAAAAAATCCCTAAAAAGTATTGTTGTTTAACCGCATTTTTGCGATTTTTTCGATTTTTACCATAATAATCATGATTCATTCGATTTGTAACTAGACCTGTTTTGTAAAAAATTTAATTGCAAACATTTTTTTCCTCTTAAATTTTTGCCTAAAATCAACTCTTGAAAAGATACATAATTAAATATGAAGAAAAATATGACATTTTTCGAATTTTTTTAATATATTGTGCCGCCAAAAGTTAAGCCCACGTTTTTTTTATGCGCATAAAAAAATTTTCATTTCTAGTGATATTTGAAAGCCAAAAAGCCAAAAATCTCCGTGGATATACAATTCACCCAAACCAAAACAGGTTTGGGTGAATGGTCTAACATGACTCTATGAATAAGATGAAAATCAATAAACATCTTTAATACACATTTAAAGAGTTGAATAAGTCTTTTTCTAAATATGATTAGACTAATAGTTTCTAAGAAGTTTTAATTTTTTTTTTTTTTTTGTAAAATGAAATGCTTCATCTAAATTGTTAATCATTAAAACGATAAATGTAATAAAACAAAAATTAAATAAAAATATAAACATGAAATTATATTTTTTAACAATGTGTCTTTTTCTAAGGCAGCATTTTGGAAGCATCTAGTTAACCTCGTTTTGATTCTATTAATTTTATACACCTAATTACGATCATTCTGTATTTATTTTTAAATATTTTCTAAACAGGCATAATTCGAAAATGTTAAATGCTAAACCACTGAGTTTTTTTTTTATTGAAATATTATTGTAGCACCATGAAATCATTTTAAATCTATGGTAAAAAGTAACTAACTTATTGAATTGATTATCAAATAAAAAAACCAGAACCTTGTTCACAATAACAAAACGGTATCTCATAAATAAAATGTAAATTATTTAGCCAAATTTCCATTAACGCAACATAATCAAATACCGGGTAATAAAAGTGTAATCCTAAATTATAAACACCAAAACAAAACCAATGAACCCTCACCTGTGCTGCTTGAGGTTATCCTGTCGCTTGAAACTCTTCCCGCACACTTCACAACTGAAAGTTAACTCTGGACTCTTGTGGGTCCTCTCGTGGATCATCAGATTGTATGGTTTGGTGAACCGCCTCTGGCAGTATTTACAGATAAATTCGCACTTTGATCGCATTTTTCTACGGAATTGTCCTCCACTCACGTCGTTATCAATCTGCATAATGGCGAACATCTTGCCTTATTTTTATCTTTATTAGCACCTCCTCGGCTGCCAGATATCTCCAGGTATTTTATTATCTCCAATTTTCCTTGATTATTTTGAAACAGTGAGGTGTCTAGGATCTGGTGAGATGAATTTCGGGAATCTCGATTTTTTTCTGGGTACGCAAAGCGTATGATCAATTGATCTTTCTGCGGGAAATCGAATTAGGTGGTTGTTTATTTATAGATATATCCACACGCCGAACGTGAGGATGATCTAATGATTTCGTTTGCAGTTTATGGCGGTATTAATATCCTATTATTTGTGTAACGGAAACTCTTCTGTGTGTTTAATTACTGATGTTCGGTGATAAGGTGAAGGAAACATCTAGCTGTCAGGGCCCGTCACACTTTCCCGGTAATGTTGGCAACCTGAAAAATGGAAGTGATAAGGTTAGTTTATATTCGATAACATTTTTTATGTATTTCCCGTTTTGTTTATCGTGTGACTGTCTTAGATAATTTTAAAGTGGTGCAAAGCGTGATTTCTTAAAATTATACAGAGTGACACAGTTTAACACGCATTGTTTCCCTTTTCTTATGGAGGTAAGTACATTTTATTCATGTAAAACGTGACAAAAATAAATATCTGCATTGTTTTTCAGAAAAACGTATCAAAATCAATATCAGGGATAATAGAGTATAAAGAAATAAGATGATCTGAGACAAATAAGACCCTCATTTTTAAAATCCCACAAAACGACTTCCGATTGAAATGTAAGCATACAGAATTATGATGTACGCATATAAAAAACATTTAACCATAAACTTTCTGTAATCTAGCAGTTGCAAAATATTTGCCATGGAGTATATTTTATTTATTACAACTATTTTGCTATGTACCTTAACGGTGGTATAGAATTTTTATTATATATATATTATATATT